ACATACTGTCAACAGTCTTTTTCATTTTGTTTACATTGTATCTTCCTCCTCACCTACTGAAGTTTAGTCCCATTAATTCTGATTTTTTGCAGACTACTTCTGTAACTCATCAGAGGTTTAGCAACTGTCTTTGCTTGATTATTGAACCCCTTTTCCTTGCCTTTGAATATACAATTATTGATCAACAGAATGCACCCATCTGATCATAACAAAGAGCAAAAAGGCGGCTGTAGCGAAGAAACATTTTTCTTTTCGATGAAGTCATCTCCAAAAATTGTACATTTCTGAATATATGTTACAGTAATTAGAACATTCCAGAATTACTTCCGGTCAGGGGTCAAAATATATTGAACAACGAAAGAAAGTTAACTGATACAAATGCGGGTTTAAAGTAGGGAAGTAAACAATGGATTGTGAAAATAGAATGTATATTTACGCAACACAGGATGAATCTACCACGATCATGGCTTTATGATGTCCACATCAAAAGGAATGATTGGACGAATCTTTTGTAGAAACAAAGCTGTAGTTTGAACTTCTGGATGGCTAGTACTTCAGCTAAATTCAAATCCCTTGATGTTACTCTAATTGACCAAGTCATGTATTAATTGTTATTTATCTTGACTAAGATGTGTACTTTTGGGTTGTGTGGGGCTGATTCGTGAGATAATATGACATCACGTGATCTAGAAAATCTATTCGTCATTACTTTATAGAAACAGCTAGTTACTTCGCATGTTCCACACTTTGGTTATTTGAGCTGTCAAATAAGTTGATAAGTTTTGCAGACTTAATTTATGAGGTTACCTTTTCTCTTTTCGAGGTTGCAATATTTGAAATTCTTTGCATATTTTGACTGAATTCACTTGTTAATAGTTTTGACATCGTCCATAATAACAACTGAAGAGCTTCTTTGTAGCAAGCTGAACTGTAAAGTCGTTGCGCTCAATTTTCTTTATCACCATCTTGCATTATTTAACCGGAGTGTACATGAATTTTCAACAAGTATCTAGTTGCTAAAAAAACAAGGATTAGTCTCAGACGCCGGTAAATTTCAAAATCAATCTGTCCAAATCTCATCTCAGCTGTCTTCAAGCTTTTTGTCCAGGATCATGTGATACCATTCCACATCAAGTTGTAGTATGTAAAAAAGAATTGAAAAGTCACTTTCGGAAGAGAAATTTTCAGAAACGTAAAGCAAGGCAATGGATTTGACACTTTTAAAAAGCTCATTCAAGTCATTCATCCCTAAACTGGTGAATCACGTAGGAGTTTAGCACAAACTTGTAAGCAGTTTGGGTCGTTTTTCTGATGTACGGAAGCATTGAACTTCTGTTTTGTTTCAGTTTGAAATTCGCCAAATGCTGCTACCTTTTTTCTCTTCCATGGACTAAACCAACTACTTCCTCTACAGGTTCAAAAGTGGTTATCCTGAATTAAAAATAAGCAACTGGTTTCATTATCGTCAGGTATCATACAAAAATAAATTACACTGTTTACAGTCATAATGTGCTACTAGAATCTTTCAGTACATGGATGAACTTTGAAGTTCTGCTGCCTGATTGTAAGTAACTGAAATTAAGGTTAATACATGGCCAGCAGTTTGCCTTCATACTTTGACCCGTTGTATGAGTGTCAGCTGAAAAGGTTGTCGGCGTTTTGGCTCATGCCAAGATCTAGCTATTTGTTCAACTCCAGTAATCGCCACCAGAAATATTGGGTTTCCCACTGAAATGTAAGTATCTGTGGTTAGGAGGACGTGACCGGATAATAATGAGCTTGTTCTATCCCAACGAAACCTTAAGATCCTGGGTTCAACCCATGATGTAGTCATGAGTTTGGACCACTGAGAAGTCCCATGTCGTCCAGTGCTCCAAGGTTTCCAGTGGTTCTCCAAATGATATCGGTTCATGATGAATATTAACCTGAAAACAACAGAACTGTTCAGACTTCTTCCTGTTAGCATAATAATGCACGGGGCCACTAGTTGACTCAGTCAAAACAAGTTGAACTTTGTCCAGTTACATAATATTGTTGACAGTTACTTAAAAAACAAAAGCTATATAAGAACGCTTAGTTGCGGGTTACAGGACGATGATAAACACACAATGCATTGCACTGAATTTTCGCTCAATTTATCTCATTTGATTTAGAAAAATTTACTTGCTAAACATTGTCTAATCATGTAACTAGTCATTATGCAGAACAAAAGCTATTTCAACCCAGTAACCACCAACTGAAGATAGTTAAGACAAACGAAATGCAGTTGAGGTGCTTTGTATTGCTCTTTGTCCAATGCTGAATGGTGTATAACAGGCAGCTATGAGTCAGGGGTAGATCTACAATCACCTTTGATCTATTAATCAATTTCACCTGTGAGCTACATTGAAACATGCAATATTTTCAAATTTTATATCATCTAGTTCATTTTGCAATTTTATGGGTGTGTGCACCTATCTGCGTGTGTGTGTGGTGTGTGCTTTTTCCACGAAATGTTCACTTTGTATTTTGGCTAACGCGAAACTCAATTTCATTGTCGTTATGTTTTGTTTTTTTGTGATATCGCACATGATCAATTCGGAAACTAATTTAAAACCACCGGTGTTTTGATTGCAGTTATATATATATATATATATATATATATATATATATATATATATACGTACAGATATCTATGCACTCGCACTTACACACCCACTCATCCCGACTCATACTCATAACTGTTATCATTAGAGTAGCATAAAGCTGATAATGCTGATGATGACACTAATTCTAATGACCTAGACCCAAGTGAAATCTGATTGGTTGGCATTTGTTAGGCACTGAGAGGAATGCAATCTACTACGTTTGTCATTCAATTTAAAAGATGTGCAATGAATTAACTATATATGATGTGAAAGAATTTTCTCACTGATCATCATTCCTCCCTCATTTTATTATTATTATTATTGTGGGTTCCGATACAGAAATCTTTTTCAAAACACAAATCAAACAGCAAAATACACATTCGTAACCTGTTACAACAAAATTTGTTTCATTTTGCAATTCTAACACCAGTTGACTTATCAAAGAACTTTGTTCATACAAATGACCTCCGTGATTGACACCAGTTTCTCGTTCAACTTTGGAAAAGTTGTGTTTGAAAGCACTACTGAGGAGAATAAAAAGGTCAAGTGAATACGGAAAACACTTCCTTTCAACATTTTCCACTAACAAATTTCTTCTTCAATCGCTTTTCTTGTAACTGTAAATCACGTCGATTTTTTAAAGGTGCAACAAAACAGTAAAGTTCAGTAAAATGCGTACAGTAACCCTGTGGTTATGATTTTACCTTTTCTATGCATCGCAATTCACAGAACAACAACAACGAAAACACCACCGACAAGGAAGAAAACAGTGCTCGAAACCCAGTGGACATTATATTATGAGTAAGATTCCGCAAAAACTTCGTAAGCCGGTATCAAGAAAGTGTGCAACCGAAAACATTAAATATCAACTCTGATGAGTCAGAGGAAATGCGTAATGCCAC